ACGATGCACCTACCGTAACCCTCACTGCGATGTCAGAATTTGGTAGGACAGCAGCTGCGCTTGTAGCTTACGTAATAACCAACGCAGTGGCAAAAATTGAGTGCGCCATGTTGAGTGAGAGGCACAGTGAGAGACATCACCGGCACATCGTGGTTCTGCAAGAGCCACAAATGCCAAGAACCAGCAAGCCTCTTTTGCATGTATGACAACCCGATAGCTCTGTTGCTTCTTAACGGTGCATCTGAAAAGAATGCAATCCCCATAAAAGCTTGGGGCCCCATCACAAAGGCCTACTATGGATTTCCCTCAAACCCATCAAAACTGTCCATAAAACATGACACTACCAAATCTCTTGAAAACACTCGCACGAATGCGCTTGCTTCATGTTCTAAAGGAGGCATAACTTTGTCTCAAGCAAATGAACAGGAAGTCAAAGAAATCTGCATCGACCAGTACTGCATTTTCAGAAAAAATCTCGCTTCATCTCACATACCATTTCCCAATACATTCACGATGTACGATTACAAAGTCACCATAAGAGCATGGTCACGTGGAAAGCTTGTGGAAAACTTACAATTATTTTGCCCGGCACAGCCAGTCTGCGAAACCATGCAATGCATCCTCTGCTGGGAGCGACTGTACAACACTCAGTGTTGGACTTTTTTACAAATAACTCTGATTACACTACTCGTCTTGATCACTCCTCTATGGATTTACATAACGATCAGGATTGTGTGCCTTTTGCTTCGAATAACCAGAATCATCCTTTACCGTGTTTGCTTCGTGGATAGATTACTTGCCCTCTGTAGCAACCGGCAAAGAATACGCAAATACACTAATCGTAGGAAAAGATCTTACAAACGAAACATATTTTCGTGCCTTACCGTGTTGTGTCTGAAAATTTCACATGGACTCGGTTGTTCAGAGATCACTTCTATTACTGCTAGTGAAAATATCTGCTTCAAAGATGGAGAAAAGGAAACATGTACCTTTAACGAAGCCACTGTAGTCACTCTTCAGTCACTGCAACAAGAATCATGTCTTCTTCTCAAGGATCATCACAACAAGCCGATCGGACTCATATCAATCAAAGTCAACGGCATCGATTTCAAATGTCAGAGAGACATTCAATTCTATACCAGAAATCACCAACTTGTTTCCGAATCCATCCATCGATGCTACTTAGCAGGAAGCTGCATCGAGAACGCATGTGAAAATACCTCACCTACGGCCAAGCTATCAGAGCTTTCTGATCTAGCAAACCGAAGTCCTGGATACACCTTCTGCGCCGCGAGCTGCGGATGCATCTCCTGTGACGGCTGTTTCATGTGCCAACCAAGCTGCTTGTTCTATCGAGTATATGCAAGACCAACAAGCTCTACTATTTACAAAGTGTTCAAGAGTCCCAGTTGGGAAATGACAGTGAACGCCGAGATAATTTTAAAGCAAGGTAACAGTATATCTTCTACCAGGTTACTATTTCGCCCAGGTCAGATCATCAAAGGGAGGAACCTGAAGTTTAGTCTCATAAGCACCACAGTGCCGCAGTTACCAGTCCTTTCATCTACCTTTATGGAACGAAATGGAAAAGTATCGATTATTCATCCTGCCCACAAAGGACAGCTCAATCCTCGTGGAGCTGGACAACTTCAGTGCGCATCATACCGGAAAGCAAAGAAGTTCAATTGCGTTTTCTCAGCCAAATCTTGTTCCTGCTCAGTCTCCTTTAAAAGAGCCACTTGTGTATGCAGCCCTGGCAACATGGAAAGACTAATGCGGAGTTCACCCCTCCCTCAAATATCAAAGCACTTTGCGATCTATTCAGAACAGGGCACACTACATGCAAAATCTGGAGTTGGCTCAGCTCTGCAACTTCAAGTTGTTGCTGAAAACCTAAAAATAGCATCAAGACAAACTAACACCTCTTGTGAGACTACTGCCAGTGACGCTGAGGGATGCTATAGTTGCATGACCGGAGCCGAAATCACTTTCCTATGCAAGAGCAAATCTGGAACTGCTTTGGCAAATATTGCCTGCTCAGAACAATACCAAGTAGCACAATGCACTACGAAAGGATATGTAAACAAACTACGCTTTCACTTCAATGCATCTGACATCTCCATGAGTTGCAAGGTAATCTGCCCAGGAAATACACAAACGATCAAGATTTAAGGCCACCTACAATACGTCGAAGACGAAACAATCAATGGAGATACCGTATCAAAAACGTTTACGAAGGAAATCACAAGAGGCATATCGTTTTTGAAAACCTTGTCTAATTATGCTCTTAGCTTATTGCGAAACTCACTAAGTTTCTTCTCGAATCCCTTCAATTTCATTAATACTGTACTGATTCTTCTTGTTCTCATCTATGTTCTGCAACATTTTTATCTCATTAGATCACGCTACTTTCCTTATCGCTATCGTGTCAAACGCCTCTGAATATCCTAATGGGAGTAACATCTTTGCTTTCTGTTGGGAATTTTTGTAATTCTACAAAAGGGTAGTTCCAATTCGTAAACTTAATTAGTAATTCTTCGTAGACCCAAGATGACTGTACACTTAGCGACGTTCATAATGAATGCGCTCGATGTTTTGATAATCACCTATCATGCTGTCAGCCATTTGCCTACTCGCATTATCTGTCCTTACATGAATTGAGAATTAGTTTGGATGTACGATTGAATGCGCTAATGCGTCTAATGGTTGGCGCACAATATGCAAATACACATTAGGCTCACTCTCCTCATGCTGTTGCTTCCATATAAATACATGCTAATGTTTGATGCTTCGCTTTTCGCTATTTCCCGTTGCACTGTGCTACCACTAATAAACGTCCGAAACCATCTTTGCTCGTCACCGAACCAATCACCGGAACCATCCAAATTCCGGACACCCGACGCTGGCGATAAATCGCCTCAGTACATGAAGTACTGTTGTTGTTGTTGTCATATCTAGTATCACATCTACGTAAATCGCTCGGCAGTTTAGACATGTAAAAAGTAACATCCAGTACTTTCCAGTAGTATTTTCGCTAGTCCGATAAGGCATGGGACCAATAAAGTCCATTCCAACGTTTTCGAAGGGATATTGAGGCGCATTTACCCTTCGTTCTGGATGTGCCGGGAATGGCGGTAGAGCAAACGGTTTGGCATGAAGTCTTTTGCAATGGTAGCATTCATTGTTAATAGCTCTTTTCACGGTGGCACGGCCTTTAGGTATCCATACTCGTTGTCTCAAGATAGTCAAAGTGTGGTTTACACCACAATGGTTGTACGTTTCATGAACATGGAGTATGTAGAGTATGGTGATACGACTTTCACGAGGAAGTAGAATCGGTGTAATTGCCTCTGCGGGCAAGTTTGCATGTTCAATCCTTCCCTGTGATTTCCATAGGGAAGTCTTCTCGCAAGTGAAGAGTCGATATCGTTTTATGAAGTCATCCGAAGGAGGGCGCCACCGTTGCGCTAATCGGAACAGTACTGTTTCGCTTCTTTGCAATAGCGCAACTTTGGTAGTGCCAAGAATTTTTGCCGCTTTTTTGAACTCCTTTGTGAGAAAATTCAGCACAAACATCATTGTTCTGAGCAGTCGAGTCCAAGAGCTAAAGCGATTCACATCTAGAAGGGTACTGACTTGTTTTTCGGGAACAGTTTTATTTTGTTTGTTTGCTTTAGATGTGGTCGAGACCATAAATTGGTTATGGAGAACGTTTTCGTCCTGTTTGAAATTTGGTGATGCTTTTTGGAAAGCATCTTTGGCATTCTGCGGCCAACTTTTTTGGTCCTCTAGGAGATATGTTGGTCCGTTCCACCAGGAATCTTCTCGCATAAGTTCTTCAATCGGACAGCCTCCAGTGCCCAAGTCTGCCGGATTGATTTCGGTAGGAACGTGTAGAATAGTGACATCGGAGGTGTTTTCAAGAATTATACTGACCCGATTTTTGACAAAGATTGGCAAACCTTTGTTGTCCTTGGTCCAGTATAACGCTACTAGGCTGTCGGTCCACAGATATTTTTCAGAGATAGGTACATCAAGTTCCTTTGTCAGGTGTGTGAGAAGTTTAGATGCAACCATTAGCGCAGCAATTTCCAAACGTGGGATCGTCATGGAATGGTTTAGTGGTGCTCGTCGACTTTTTGACATTATCAAAGAGGCTCTCACAGGGCTGTTCTTTACCCTTTGTACAAGGTAAGCCACTGCGCAGTAAGCGACAGAAGATGCGTCAGCGAAAACGTGTATGTCGTAATCATAGTTCACTCCTTTCTGATGGTCTATTATGAGACGAGGAGTGGAGATTCCAGCTACATTCCAGGCTGACAAGATTTTTTCCCACTGTGCCGTTTTTTTCAGAAGATAGGGTGTCATCCCATAGAAGCCTTTCTTTCCAGAGTGTTTGAAGAAACAATTTGCCAGGTAATGCCGCAGGAGAGAATAATCCTAGGGGATCATAAATGCTAGCGACATGTTTCAAGATCTTTCTTTTCGTCCAGATTGTTTCTACCCCGGGTCTCTTTGGAAATGGTACAATTATGTGATCGTTAACAATGTCCCAATCTAAACCGAGTAATTTTTGGATCTTGGTTATGTTCCCCTTCTCTTTTTGTTCGAAGTACTCATTAAGTTTTGTTGAGTTACTGGCATATGCTCGAAGATTCATACCAGCTTCTTGGAACAAGGATTTTGACTCTTTGTAGAATGCGATTCCATCGTCTATGCTCTCTGCACCCTAGAACACATTGTCAACATAGGTGTCACGGATGATATGTTGCGAAATAGTAATGGCCATGGTGGAAAGGTGGAAGTGTATGGTGCCGGCGAGTAGAAATGGGGAACAAACCAATCCAAATGGAACACGAGTGAAGCGATAAGTGATTAGGTTTTGTGGGCACAGTGAGCCTGTGCGATTTTTCAACCACAAAAATCTGGTGTAATCCCGTGAACTTTGGTTCAAGCCAACCATGAGGAATGCTTTCTCTATATCACTTGAAATAAGAATTTCACAGTCTGCTACGGATGAGAATTCCAACAAGATTAGGAAGCAGTACAGGCCCTCGGTACAGGGTATCATTGAGACTCACGCTTCCTTTCAGTTTTGCCGATCCATCATAGACGCACCTGATTTTGAGATCCTTGTCATTCCTTTTCAATACGCCATGATGGGACAGGTAGTGACACGGTTTGTGAACATCCTCGGCTGGCACACGTTCGATTATTCCTCTTTGTAATTGATCTTTGATTACTGCATGATCTCTTTCTAAGTAGGAAGGATTTTGCTGTAGTTGTTTCAACTGATTGCGAAGACGAGAGTAAGCCAATGTGTAATTGTCAGGGACCTTTACCGGATCAACTTTGAAAGGTAATGTAACAACATACCTCTTTTCGTCGGAGTCGTAGTATATAGTATTGTGGAAGAGTTTGAGACATTCGTCATCGTCGCGCTGGTCCGGGTTATCAAGTATACCAACTGATTCAAGTTTCCAGAATCGGCTTACCAGTTCGCACAGTTTGTTATGGTTTGCTGGATTGGCAACGTCATCGTTTTCAATAGAGACAAAACAAAACTGCAGTGTTTAAATTTAGTATCGAGAGCTTTCTTCAAAATGATGTCTCCTATGGTCGTGTGGAGAAGGCGATGCCCTTCAGATAGGTTTTTGTAGTAGAAATTGTGAGAAAGGACAAGGTCCCAAAAGTAATCGTTCCCAATCAGTATAGATGGTTTACATAAAGTCACGGATAGGTTGCCATCAGGAATGATTTGCATCACATCCTTTGCGAGAGAAGTGGTAGATTTCACAGTGAGACATTTGGTGCCGTTTTCTGTCACAATACCTATCTTGTGGATCGAACATTCCATCAACATAGGCTTAGAGCCAGCAAACGTTGAAACGCTGAGTTCTTCTCTTTTGATAGTTGGTAAGTTAAGAAGGGCTGCCAGTTCCTCAGTAATGTAAGTAGCTGTAGATCCATAATCAAGGAAAGCGGTTGCGGTAGCACGACAAGAAGGGTCATCAGGATTGAACAATTTCACGTCCGTGCACATCAGTGGGGCTGGTTGGTTTGTTGCTTCAGTTGTAGTAAAGGTACTATTGTTACCTTTCTCCTCAGGCACTGTTGCACTTGAGTTGGCGAGTTCGTCTATTGAGATTGGCTGGTTGTCATTACATGACATATGAGTAACGTCAAAGTGGACAGCATGATTGCGAGCAGGTGGAGGAGTTGAGTGACGAGGATGGTAATTGTCTTGACGTGTAGGGGCTTTCGGAAGGTTGGGTGGCGTCGATTTGACGGATGTACAGAGAGAAGTGTGGTGTTTTCTTGAGCATACGCGGCAACGAAACTTTGACTTACAATCTCGAGTATTATGGCGAGTAGAAAGACAGTTGTAGCAGAGCTGTCTCTTTCTTGCTTGTTCAGAGCGTTGTTTTGCAGTGGTGTAAGTTGTGCAATTTGCAGCAGTGTGGTTTTTGGAATCGCAAAAGGGGCAGTGCTGCCGTAGCTTCGCGTTCGCAGAGCTTGGTCGAGATTGTGGTTATTTTGCGGCGATGTAGCTTCCTTGTTGAAGACGAGGATTTGAGAACGACTTCGAATAGAATTCCATTTCGGAGAGGGTAGATTCTTTGCGTACGATGTTGGTAAGTAGATGAAGCAATTCCATTGGGGAAACATTGTGATCATGTTGGCTTTGGTCGTAGATCTGGCTCCTCACGCGCGCTGGAAGTTTGTTAAGAAGAAGGGCGCCCAGAGCCTTTTCCTTTGAATCATCAGTTCCGTTTGAGAATTGTCGTACGAGAGAAAACATTTGATTATACAGAGAGAGGAGATGACGTCCTTCGGGGTCACAAGCTGGTAACGAGGCAAGTTTTGTATACAGGATGTGTTTCAGAGTGACCTTGTCGTCGAAATGAGTCCGTAAGATATCCATGGCAATTCTATAGTTTCCAGGGGTCATCGACAAACCTTGTATGACATGTAAAGCCTTTCCACGCAAGCAAGATTCGAGGAGTGAAAATTTTGTTGTGTCATCGAGTTGTAATTTGTTGCCTACCAAGGTCGCAAACCTTGACGAAAATTCAGGATAGTCAAGCAGATTTCCATCAAAGGTAGGGAGCTCTAGTTTACTGAGTATTGAGGCATCAACAAAATTCATGAGCGAAGGATCGGTTCGAGGGATGATAGGGGTCTGTGAACTATTCTGGAGCAAAGGCCTATTCTCTCTATTCCAACCACTCTCTTCATCAGGTGTATTAGACTCGGAAGAAACCGAGGAGAGTGCTAAATGGCGCTTTGCATATTCTTGATCAACGGTATTCAAAAGAGAATCCAAATCTTCCAGATTTTTGACAGCATCAACGATGATTAAGCGGTAGTCACCGTACTTCCCAAGATACTCGTTAAATACCTGTTGGTCGTCGGAGTTCGATTTTTGCAATGTCGTCCATTCTTCGTCGAGTTTGGTAATCCTTGTGTAGGATTTTAGCAGACTGGAACGAATACTGGTAACTTCTAGCCAAAAGCTTTCAAGTTCGTCGTCGCTCAGGGCTTCGAATTGTGGGGCAGGAAGGGAGACATTGTAGTCTTTCAAGGCTTGAGCTACGTCAGAGCAGAAGCGCTGGATTTGTTTCTTAAAAAACCCTATCTGGCGTCGCAGGCGTGCGCTATCGGACATGTCTTCAGAAGAGAATCAGAGAATTCGTACGATTGAAGTACTTAGAGTTGAGTTCGGGAACAGAGAAGGATCCGCGAATGTTCAAAAAATTGGAAGGTTGTACACTACGGTACAGATGGAAGACTTTCAAAGGAGAGTGATTGGTTACACGCTTCGGTGCAAAGGAGATTGATTGGTTACACGCTTCGGTGCAAAGGAGATTGATTGGTTACACGCTTCGGTGTAAAGGTTGGATTCCTTGAGGGAATTGATGATCCTGTAGTCAGGAATGGTACTTTCGGTCGTACCCTGTTGGTGGGAAGGTGCAACCGCACAAATGAAGGTGTGAATGGCTGTTCGACTATTTTGACAGTCCTTGCTGGGTCGCCACTTTTGTCCGGAATTTGGATGGTTCCGATGATTGGTTCGGTGACGAGCAGAGATGGTTTCGGACGTTTATTAGTGGTAGCACAGTGCAACGGGAAATAGCGAAAAGCGAAGCATCAAACATTAGCATGTATTTATATGGAAGCAACAGCATGAGGAGAGTGAGCCTAATGTGTATTTGCATATTGTGCGCCAACCATTAGACGCATTAGCGCATTCAATCGTACATCCAAACTAATTCTCAATTCATGTAAGGACAGATAATGCGAGTAGGCAAATGGCTGACAGCATGATAGGTGATTATCAAAACATCGAGCGCATTCATTATGAACGTCGCTGAGTGTACAGTCATCTTGGGTCTACGAAGAATTACTAATTAAGTTTACGAATTGGAACTACCTTTTGTAGAATTACAAAAAGAAGTTATGAGACCAGTTGCAAAACTTAGTTTCCAACCTAACAAATCAAATTCGCCCTTTTGTATTGCTTGCTCGAAAATCATAACTTTTCACAGAGGCGCTCAATCGGCGCAAACTTTGCACTGTTAGAAAGAGCTGGTGAAAGAACCTACAATACTGACTGCTCCGATTTTGGTTGCAAATCTCCGATTTTTCATGACCCTACACAGAAAATTCAAATTTTGACCATTTTTCTTCTATCGCTCCTATCTATGCAACAGATGATCATTAGTAAGCAGATAAGATGTCATTATAAAAAACATGACTTACTATTTCATACGAAAATAGAAGCAGTCAAATCGGTTGGAAAAATCAGAAGTTATGAATTTTTGAAAATCGTGCGCAACAACTTTCGGGACGACCTATAAAATGTGTTGGCTTTTATGGGTCACCGGAGCAAGTGCTTTTTAGAGCCGGGAAGCAAAGAAGCCCTAACATGCTGTATACCATTCGAAAACAGAGATCATGGAGAATCGACGTAGACCGTCGACTTTTTTCTAGGTCTTCAGTGCCGCGAGATATGAGGGTTTTCATGCGCTTCAAAAATTAACTGATTTCGTGTCCTCACTTTCTGCTCTCCAAATGAATGCTACGAGAAAGTCGACGGTCTACGTTTGTTAGTGAAGACTTGCTCTATCACACAGTTAGATAACCAGCAGTGATTAGGTCTTCATTTGGCAGAAATCTGCTGTTGAAAATGACCATGTTTTCAGATAAAATGCGGTGTTTCTCTCGGTAGAGGGGGGCTAGAAAGAAGTCGACGGTCCAGGTCGAATTCCCTTTTCCTGAGCTTTCGAATGGTCTATAGGTGCTGGGCGAAAAAACTAACCAGTTTTCAAAAATGGGGTGGAGATATTTACTATTAGCGAAGCTCCACTTAGCTCCACCAATGTATTGGCTTTTATCGGTTACCGGAGCAAATGATTTTTAGAGCCGGGAAGCGAAGAAGCCCTAACATGCTGTATACCATTCGAAAGCTGAAATCATGGAGAATCGACGTAGACCGTCGAATTTTTTCTAGGCCTTCTGTGCCGCGAGATATGAGAAATTTTATGTACTTCAAGAACCAACTGCTTTTTGTCCTCACTTTCTGCTCTCCAAATGAATGCTACGAGGATAAATAAAGAATATAAATAAACATAAATATCGTTTCTTTTGTAAATTTATGAGTGTGCTTGTTCTGAGGTACTTAGCCTGCAAAACCTTTTAATAACGATTTTTATCATATTCTCAGAGTAGAATACCAATCTCAGCCCAGGTGAAGGGGGTCATTGGGAGTTTGGCCTCAAAGTGAAGGGGGTAAGATCCACCACTCCCCCTTGCAACTATGGTCCTATTATCGTAGGGTTGTTTCAGTCTGCCGCACTGACTGCAGCAGACTGCAGCAGACTGCAGCTGACTGCACTGACTGCAGCAGACCGCACTGACCACACTGACCGCACCAATCGCAGCCTCTTTTCTTAAAAGAAAAACAACCGCGATTATCAAAACAGCATAATTTGCGCATAAGAAGATCATAAGTTCCATCAGAATTCTTCCCAATCAAATTTTGGCGATAGTTTTCTTTGATATGTTCGTATTTGTTCTAATTCTTCCTATCATTGCATATACGTGTTTTGTAACATTGTAAACCTTGTTGTCTTTTGCTTTTACGTATATATTGTTGTTGTTTGTTTAAAGCACAACTATTTGTCCTCTCCGCCTGCAGGCTTCAGCTGCTGCGGTCGTTGCGGTCAGTGCGGTCAGCTGCAGTCTGCTGCAGTCAGTGCAGTCAGCTGCAGTCTGCAGCAGTCTGCTGCGGTCAGTGCAGACTGCTGCAGTCAGTGCGGCAGTATGAAACAACCCGTAAGGTGCTAAAAGCTCAAGACTCAACTTAGAGTGGACGGTGTTTTCAAACGCGGTTCGCAAACATTTTCAAAACATAGTTTTATTTATTAGTTATGCCAGCATGAGGTTTTGGCGAAGCTTTTACTAGCAGAGCGGCCCAGCGTTTTGAGCAATCCTCGTCTTCAGAGGCCCAAAGTTGCGCGCGATTAATGGTCACATGTTTGTCCCATCAAACGCCTTGTCAACCCTGGCCAGCTTCTCGATCCCCTCTATGGGTTCACTGCTTGAAATCAAATGGGATGACGAATTGACCGTGGCTCTACCGCTATCGCACCGATGGTGGCGACCGCATTCTGAGAGTTAATAATGTAAATTTGTCATATAAGTCAATCTGTTGCACTACTCTGTCACACCTCACATAACGGGATGATTGGGAATTCATTTGTAATGGTTGAACACTCATTTCTCTTGATCATTGGCGGTTCCTATGAGAGATCCAAATAGCTTTGAAAGCTTTTCGTGCAGAAATATCCGGTTCGTAAGCCAGCAAAGCATTTGACTAGATAGTCATTGTCACCGTAATTACTGTGTTTATGCCTTCCGAGAGGTAAGTCACACTACTTCTTTTCTCATTGGCTAGATGTTCCTTCATTCTCACAACAAGTGCTCTTTCGCTTCAATGGTGGCACCATTTTTTACGAATACAAAGTGGGATTGAGAAACTGGACAGAGTTGACAAGGCGTTTGGTGGGACAAACATGTGATCATTATTCGCGCGCCACTTTAGGCCTCTAAGGCCTAAGACATACTTCGCGCAATTTCGGTCGCTGCGCGATTTGGCACAAGAGTGAC